TTTCATAAATTATTTTATTTATTTATTTATTTATTTATTTATTTTTTTATTATCTAAATTACACTAAGCCTACGAATTGAGGTAAACAACAGTCATGCCGGGTGTTTCGGGTAGACAGGTATGCCATTGTATGTGGGATAGTATGGAGGACAGGTCTTCAAACTCCTAAGGGTAGACAAGTATACCGCTGTATATGTGCTGGTAACGAGGACTAATTTTCAAACTCCTAAGGGTAGACAGGTATACAGCTGTATATGTGCGGGTAACGAGGACTAGTCTTCAAACGCCTAAAGGTAGACAGGTACACAGCTGTATATGTGCTATATGTGCTGGTAACGAGGACAGGTCTTCAGACAACTAAGGGTAGACAGGTATACCGCTGTATATGTGCGGGTAACGAGGACTAGTCTTCAGACAACTAAGGGTAGACAGGTATACCGCTGTATATGTGCTGGTAACGAGGACTAGTCTTCAAACTCCTAAGGGTAGACAGGTATACAGCTGTATATGGGTGGTAACGAGGACAGGTTTTCAAACACCTAAGGGTAGACAGGTACACCGCTTTTTCCAATTATTCAGGAATTTCACAATATACCGAGGACGATGTTATTTTATTTACGTTCACAGGATGTCCACAATTTCACATACTTGATCTTACAGATAGTAAACTGACACTATTCTCGTAATATTTTTATATAAAGATGTATTCATCTCTTTGACAACAAATATGTTGATTTCATATTTTGAATCGTGCTGAAATTGGAAAGTATGCCTAAAGTCTTTAGAAAATTGTTCATGCATTATTTAACAGCAATTGACACGTTCAATTACTGTACACTTACACAAAGTAGACGAGATACTGTGTACAGCTGATATGGTCGTCGTAATTATTGTTACATAAAATTTCATTATAACGAATAGTGCATGTATTATTTGCGTTGCTTGATACGTGATTTGAAAAAAAGGCTCAGCGCATAATATCATAATAATGTTCGTTATAAATTCCAGAAAATATTCCAGCCGCAATCAAATAAATTGAGCTGTCTGGTAGTGAACCAGTCTTTACAGTAGTGCTAAACATATCACATCTAGTAAGTAGCAGATATTTGCCTATTGCTGAGAAAATTCAAATTAATCAAAAAATCAATGGCTTCATGTTTTTTTCCTGAAATTTAGGGATGAATTTCAAAACAGAAAACCGACGAATATATTTTATATTGTCATGATTCAGTGAGATGATTTTAATCAGACAGGTTTGCATCACTATCGGCTATGATCATAATGTAAATTCTGACGACATTCATCGACATGAAGAAGAGTTCTTCAAATCAGAAATTTTCTTTTCGTTTTGTAGGGTAAACAAATAGATAAGACAACAAAGCATAATTTTATAATTTTATCTAGAAAACATTTTTACATTAGTTGTAAGTATCCAGATTAAAACAACTTGATTCATATATCCAATATTGATTATATTGCGGCGGAGTTCCCTTGTAGTAACTGGTTGTTACTTTCATTGAACAACATACAGGAGATCCGTCGCAAACTATACCGAGCAATTGGTTGAAATGTCTTGCCCAAGGACACAACTACGTCAAAACAGACATGTCTGATCCTCAATGTCCTGAGAAACACGAACTGCCACGGGTAGGAGCGTCAAACAACATACCTCGGATCTTCATCTAAAGTTATGTAAATTCAACGCTCTACTACTTGAGTTAGTTTCCAGTGACACCAGTTAATAACAATGTACGCATGGTTATATTTAAGTTAAGTCAAGTGAAAATGATAAACATTTTTAAACATTTTGATGGGAAAATCCCCAGAATAAGTGGTTACAGATGAGTCAGAAGTACGGGAAACACTTGGTTTTTTCGAGGCTTCAACAGTCTAGTGCCTTATGGTACTATCTATTTATAGACGACTAAGCAAATAAGTAAAAACATAAACTTAGGTTTCAACAATTTAAAGTCCTTAGCGTCATTGACGAGTCCTAGAAAGACGAAACAGCTGTATGACGTAGCGTCATTGACGAGTCCTAGAAAGACGAAACAGCTGTATGATTTAGCATCATTGACGAGTCCTAGAAAGACGAAACAGCTGTATGATGTAGCATCATTGCCGAGTCCTACAAGGACGAAACAGCTGTATGACGTAGCGTCATTGCCGAGACCTAGAAGGACGAAACAGCTGTATGACGTAGCATCATTGACGAGTCCTAGAAAGACGAAACAGCTGTATGATGTAGCATCATTGCCGTGTCCTACAAGGACGAAACAGCTGTATGACGTAGCGTCATCGCGAGACCTAGAAGGACGAAACAGCTGTATGACGTAGCGTCATTGACGAGTCCTAGAAAGACGAAACAGCTGTATGACGTAGCATCATTGCCGAGACCTAGAAGGACGAAACAGCTGTATGACGTAGCGTCATTGACGAGTCCTAGAAAGAGGAAACAGCTGTATGACGTAGCGTCATTGACGAGTCCTAGAAAGAGGAAACAGCTGTATGACGTAGCATCAATGCCGAGACCTAGAAGGACGCATCATTGCTGAGTCCTAAAAGGACTAAACAGTTGTATGACGTAGCATCATTGCCGATACCTAGAAGGACGCATCATTGCCGAGTCCTAAAAGGACTAAATAGTTGTATGATGCAACATCATTGCAGAGTCCTACTAGGACGAAACAGCTGTATGACATAGCATCACTGACGAGTCCTAGAAGGACGAAACAGCTGTATGACGTAGCGTCATTGACGAGTCCTACAAGGACGAAACAGCTGTATGACATAGCATCATTGACGAGTCCTACAAGGACGAATCAGCTGTATGACGTAGCGTCATTGCCGAGACCTAGAAGGACGAAACAGCGGTATGATGCAGCATCATTGCAGAGTCCTACAAGGACGAAACAGCTGTATGACATAGCATCATTAACGAGTCCTAGAAGGACGAAACAGCTGTATGACGTAGCGTCATTGACGAGTCCTACAAGGACGAAACAGCTGTATGACATAGCATCATTGACGAGTCCTAGAAGGACGAAACAGCTGTATGACATAGCGTCATTGCCGAGTCCTAGAAGGACGAAACAGCTGTATGACGTAGCGTCATTGACGAGTCCTAGAAAGACGAAACAGCTGTATGATATAGCATCATTGCCGAGTCCTAGAAGGACGAAACAGCTGTATGACGTAGCATCATTGACGAGTCCTACAAGGACGAAACAGCTGTATGACATAGCATCATTGCCGAGTCCTAGAAGGACGAAACAGCGGTATGATGCAACATTATTGCAGAGTCCTACAAGGACGAAACAGCTGTATGACATAGCATCATTGCAGAGTCCTACAAGGACGAAACAGCTGTATAACGTAACATCAACGACGACTCCTAGAAGGACGAAACAGCTGTATGACGTAGCGTCATTGACGAGTCCTACAAGGACGAAACAGCTGTATAACGTAACATCAATGACGACTCCTAGAAGGACGAAACAGCTGTATGACGTAGCATCATTGACGAGTCCTACAAGGACGAAACAGCTGTATGACATAGCATCATTGCCGAGTCCTAGAAGGACGAAACAGCGGTATGATGCAACATCATTGCAGAGTCCTACAAGGACGAAACAGCTGTATGACATAGCATCATTGCAGAGTCCTACAAGGACGAAACAGCTGTATAACGTAACATCAATGACGACTCCTAGAAGGACGAAACAGCTGTATGACGTAGCATCATTGACGAGTCCTAGAAAGACGAAACAGCTGTATGACGTAGCGTCATTGACGAGTCCTAGAAAGACGAAACAGCTGTATGATGTAGTATAATTAATCGTTTGGATCTACATTATCTAACTCCAAGGTGCTATATTCACCTTTGTGTCTTTTCGACAATCTTAAATTTGAGTTGGTAATAATATGTTTGATAAAACACTTGCATTTTAATAACTTTACATCATATTCTTTGCAACGCACTTGTTTCATGTCTGGATATCATGCATACGGCACATAGATAAAGTTTTGTTTCGCCTTTGTTCTCTTCCTATTGTATTTGATCATAAATATTATGTTCCCTTAGTAACGAAAATTCAATAAAGACATTTTTCCATATGATTGCCACTTTTTACTTTTTGAGTGAAGCCTTACAAAATTTTGTGTCATTAATACAAAAATTACGGCCAAATATTAAATACGTTTTCTATATGTACGTTATCAATATCAGTTAAAGTAAATATTCACCAACACGATAGACCAATATATAAAATCTCCGTTCACAGCTATTAACATGAAGCATACACAGAATGATATTATTTCATTCTATCTGAAATATTTATATTTACATACTACATTTAACAATGATAGTTAGATATATTTTCATCTCATTTTAATAAACTTTGAACTGGTCTATCATCTGCAGGTTTTAGGGCTAGGTAAATTAATGACAACGTGCACAAAACAACCTTTTCCATTCTTCTGTGAAATCACTTATTTTCGTGGGGCTGGAATTTCGTGGTTTTCATAAAACATTTGATTTTGTAGTTATTAATATTCACATAATCCACTATTGCTAAGATAATATGTATTTTAACTGTTTATCGTTTTGTAAACGTATAAATTCATGGATAAAGAGAACCCACGAAATCAACAAAAAAATCCCTAACGAAAATCAATGATCTTTCAGTTTTCTGTGATCATCATCAAGTTTCCACGCCCATTTAGATGATTATGATAAATTTGGATATTACAAACACATGATGAAAATACATGATACACAGATATAACTTACAATAAAGATATTATGAAAACAAAAACCAATATTGGCAGTGACAAAAAATACCATTACTAGGGATCCTATTCTAAAACATGTATGACTTAATCTCATTATGATCTGTACCCCTCATGATAGACGACCACGTCATTCAAAATACATACTATCTAAAAATAGTATTTTCTCCAAAACAACACGATAATCAGAGTTATTATGACGTCTCTGTGTTTGTTATCTTATTATTGCTTAATTTTAATGATAATTTAAAAGAAAATTTTAGAAATTTTATTTTAAAATATTTCAATGATCTTTCTTTAATTTATTAACAAATAAAAAAAATCATTTGAAAACACTATATTTGGGAATGATGGTGACTGAAGGCAAAAGTACCTTCAGGTAACATGGATTTATAATAAATGTTTTTCAAATGATCTAGAAACTGAAATGTCAACACAAAGATATTTGGGGACTTAAAGCTGAAAGAATTTACGATACATCATTAAATACATGCTTGATTTATTTACTCTCTCATGTGTTATTTGGAGCGGACTTGTGAAATGTTCATCACCCGTGCAACATTACCTTTTGCACTGTTCATTGTCAAACATCACACGCGATTTATACAAGTCAACACATATTGCCGTGTACAAGTCATTAGTCAAGAAAATGGTCCTCCTCCCGCTTCACAGAAACCGCTATTTTGTCAAGTTCATACAAGAACAACATCACAAGAAGGTTTTTAATATGTCCAAGTTATTGTCTTGAATACGAGTGTGCATTATTTAATATATAGATTTTGATTTTTCTCAAGCAAGGAAACCCTTTCCAATCTTTTCTATCCACATCTCAGTCTTATAAGTCCAATGATGATTCAGGAATGAGGTTCAAGTTTGTAGTTCATTGTTCATTAGATGCAATATTATATGTAAAGTATAATGTTTACACACAACGACTTGCTTCGGAGAAAAGAGCCCTGATAACCGTCATTATGGTATGAGCAAGGAAACGTTGTACCATGACCTCAGTTGTCGTTTTGTGCTTCCTTCACTATAGAGCAAACTAATCTAATGAGTTCTTTCCAAGCGTTCTTAATCTTCTCTAAATCAAGTGAATCATCTTTCACTAAATCTTCAATTACGGCGAGAAAAACTTTTTCGAGCAACTGTAATAAAACAACAATGAAACCTGAGATATGCAATAGCATTCACAACCAAAATTACAAATAAACATCATATATTGAAAAGTTCATTTGCTGATTATCATTATAATTTCAGTTTTATTCGAACAATTGTATTACTGCTTCTTAAAATTTGACAATCATTTTTCTAGTATGGAACAATTAGTTTCATCACAGGAAAATCAATCAAACCTGAGGGTTCAATGGTTCTCCACAGAGGGTAATCAATTTATATCAGATTTACTCACCAAAGAAGTCACAAAGAAATTTCGTTATATACACTACCCTGGTAACCTAGATATTGCATTACACATGATACCTTTGTTACATCGATGCTGAGTTACACACAGAAGCCAGACACGAAATTCATATTTACTTTAAACTCTGCTGGTCCTATCCCTCGTGGTTTATGACTGATTGCAACCTTTTTCACCAATTCCTCCAGACAATCTAAATCGTCAAGACTGTCTATATAGGACTCAAGTGCGTACATTACGCTCGTCGCATGCGCTATCATCGTCTTGTTTTTCTTTGTTGTAGTGCTGTAAATTTCAGATTTATGAAGGTTAGTAGGCAAAAAAACTAAAAATTAAACTTTCGTCGTGGTGACAATTTTTGAGAGGTAAAATTTTAGCAAAGAAGTGAAAACAAATTTTAAAGAATCCTTAAGTAGCTGCACTTCTTTTTCTGTTATATGTAGATGTATATTTGGCAATAGCCATTTACGCGTTCTTTTTGTTTTGTTTGTTTTTGTTCTTTTGTTATTATTTTGGTTTAAAGACAGTTTTGTAAGTTCTTAGGCGACCTATTTTCCGATAGATTCCTTCTTTATATCAAAGATAAATACATCGACAACGGAAAAACATGGATATCGATGAAACCATTAACTTAATCACGCTGTCAACGACGTCATATTAAAATGGTGTACTCGGTAAACACTCTAATACTCTACAAATTGTCATATAAAGTCATCCAATTTAGATACCAAATTACATAAAACACCGGTAGTTACAGATGTAATGTTGGAATTTGTTTCATATCAAATTATATCCTACACCCTAGATTTGAAAGGGATATAACAGTGCCATAATATAACTTTGAACATGTCTTGTTGCCTTATGGGGAAGATTTACAGTCGTCATAGGGATCTCGTTTGGAAATAGTCTTCTTTCTTGTGCGACATGAATAATGTGTTTTTTATTCGTTAGTAAGTCTGTTGGTTTCGTTACCTTAGCATTGCTTACATGGATTGACTTAGATTTAATGACATGTGTCGTTGGTGAAGCACAAGATGCCTCTTACCTTTACTGAACACCTTGTTTTATTTTCCTTGTGATTCTTAATGAGTATAAATCTATTTTTGTGCATGTTTTTCCTAGTGTAATTGAATTTGAGTTTGAACTGCAACCTGTTGAAAGGGCGGTATTTTTCTTTTTCTTCTATATGTGAGTATAAATATGTAATGATATATTTCCTATCACCATAGCAAACATACAAATCTTGCTTACCCGTCATAATCGAGGAGCTCCAGTGGAACATCTTTGAAGCTCTTGAACATCTTCTTTGTATCAGGATACATTGTAAACAATCTAGGAAAAGCATGCAAATCTCGGCATCAGTGACATAACCATTGAGCTAGCTACTAACATTACATGTAACTATTACCCCTAACAAACGTTCTCTTATGACGTCAGTTGTTCAGGTAGGACATCTGTCTTCAACATCATTGCTATTTAATATTAGTTATATGCATGTACATAAATCTATTGTTTATTCCCATCAATAACAGACAAAAGCTATCTCGATGCTTATTAATGTTCATTATGTTAAATATATAGTAAAACGTCTCGTTTCTATGGCATCCTGTGACATAATTAACATTATCATTATGAAATTATATAATTAAATATATAATTAGTGTAACAAAGTTAAGATTTCATTACTTTTGCAATCCAACTAAAATTTTATATTCTTATTATTAATTCTGTGTGATATTCCTGTGCAAATATACGTACTTCATAAAGAACTTCACACCATTGGTCTTCTTGTCCTCCGCCAAAATCTCCCAGCTTGCCTTGAGTAGTTCAACCTCATTATCAGATAGAGGGGCCCCACTATACTCATTGGCTGGCTGTCCGTTCTTCGACATTGTCTTGCTAAATAAAGAAAGAAATAATTCTTCAATACACCACAAGCGTTATTATCAATATTTATTTATTTATCTATTTATTTATCTATCTACCTGTTTATATACTTATATATTTATTTATTCCTATTTCTGTCTATATTACGACTTCATTGACATGTCAAGTTATGCATAAGGAGTATTCCATTATAACCAACCTAAATGATTATGAGTGTGCTTTATTTACAATTTACACAAACAACCAAATACTCGTGTATAATCAAATAATCACTTATATTATAGACCATCAAATTTTTTGACTTTTGACTGTTAAGGAATGTCATTATGGTTGCGAAATTGCTCCTTTCTATTTGGTTAGGCCATGAGGAGCCGGATAATCATAGGGTTATTTGTTGTGTTCGGTGTAAACAAGAAACCAAACAAAATGTAGGTTACAAAACCGACATCTGCACAACAGCCCAGTCGGACCTGACAACGATCTAGTTAATGGGATTAGAACGACAACAGGATGCATACACCATTGTATAAATATCTTTAAATTCATGCCAGTTTATAAATTACATTTGTGTTATCTTAAAATATTTCCATTTACACTTAACACTAAGAAGATGAACCTACGGCGCTCAATTTATTCTACTTCCCAATAACACACATTGGTAATATTGCTGGCCCAGTGATATGCAAATTGTTGTCACAACTTCTGGTATAAATCATTGAGTACCATCTATTTTGTGGCATATCTATCTGTATATGTATTAATTAAATATTTTCGTAGTTAAACGGAGAAATAAGTGATGGCTGGTAGTATATTTGTGGGATTGCTTTGTTTACTGTCTGCATTGTGTCCGTGATGTCAGTCAGGTTGTGTAGGTTCTTACATTGAAGTCGGGTTTTTTGAGGAACTACACATAACATGTCGTCATTATTACAAAACGTGGTCGACCTACGAATCAAGGAAATATTTTAAAACTGACACGATTGTGATTCATCGAAATTAAGTGGACACATAGGAAGAGGTTAATTGCCGGATGTTAAGTTGATCGATGTGATTTCGTACATATTACTCTATATGGACATCCATAGTTAAATCTAGACATGCATGCCAAATAAGGTTAAAAAGAAACCATTATAGGCCAATTATGTCAATTCTGAAACCAAATTAATTTTAAGCAATGTGATTCGACAAGCGCTGAAAAAGATAAAAATAACAGATAACTGCTCAGGACAAAATACGAAAGATGTATCACAGTATCAATTGACAGGAAACAAAGCATAAAATTACGTTTACAAGGTCATTGTACTCGAATGAACATGAATCAACAAACATGATAAGTTTCGATCTCACTCCTAGATTATAATTACGCAACAATTTCAATTTAAAAGGAGAAAAATCGAATGAACGATTGAGCAGGTGAACCCTGGCAATAAAATGGATCACAAAGGGAAGATATATGAAAGCCTGAGACAGATACATATATGTCAGATGGAATAGAACCACAATGACAATCTGTATATATATACCACAACATGATATATGGACACAATAATCACATTATCAACCCCAATTGACACTCTACCACTTAGCACCAACTTTACATGTTCACAAGTCCTTTGTCAACGGTAAACATATCACTGTTAATAAGCGTGTTAAGTATATAATCTGTCGTTATTTTCTTTTTAATAGAATAAGCAATTATGCTCAATCAATTAAAATATGTCAGTTATATTAAGTTTTATCATTAAACTAATATGCAAAATAAGCCAGTTTTATGAATTTATCGCTGGGTTTCGTCCACATACATAGTAAAATAAGTCAGCTTGGTTGATTCATCATCATTCTCTTATGCAGTAAAATAAGTCATTTTGAATTTCGTACACATGTAAAGTGAAATATATTTGTCACTGATTTTCGTTCACTTAAGTCCATCACTGGATGACATGTAAACTAAAAAGAGTTATTATCATGGATTTATCACTGGATGAAATATAAAGATTAAAAGAAGAGAGTTTCACACATTCATCACTGGATGACACATAAAGCTGGAAAAGTCAGTTTAACAGATTCATCACTGGATGACATATTAAGATTAAAAAAATTAGTTTCACTGATTTATCACTTCATGACATATTAAGATTTAAAAAGTTAGTTTCACAGATTCATCACTAGTTGACATATACAGCTTTAAATGTTAATTTCACAGAATTCACTAAAAAGTTAGTTTCACAGATTCATCACTGGATGACATTTACAGCTTTAAAAGTTAATTTCACAGAATCATCACTAGATGACATATACAGCTTTAAAAGTTAATTTCACAGATTCATCACTGGATGACATCTACAGCTTTAAAAGTTAATTTCACAGAATCATCACTAGATGACATATACAGCTTTAAAAGTTAATTTCACAGATTCATCACTGGATGACATCTACAGCTTTAAAAGTAAATTTCACAGATTCATCACTAGATGACATATACAGCTTTAAAAGTTAGTTTCATAGATTCTCCACTGAATTTTGTTTACCTGCATTAGATTCCTCGTTTAAGACTGACGTATATTTACCTCTCTTTAAGTAGCTTCTAGTGTTACCTGATCACTGATTAGATCCGAGTCGTTATTATTCCCATCGTCTGTAGAATGATTACCCTCTGGGTCTACACTTGTAGTATAAATGGAGGATCGTTACTAGGGTCGTAAACACAGTCTGTGGTCGTTAATCTTCAGGTGAAATAGGAGTATGTATGTAGGTCTTGACATTAATACAAACATTGCAAATACACGTTCACAAATTAATCCTTTGCTGGTTCAGTTTGAATACATATGTTCTGTAATCCTTGTTGATGTTTATCTTATACCTTATGGAAATATTTTGTTCGAACTTTAATATGAAATAACATTTTGAACGTTAATTGATGAACTGAAAGCAGTCACAAGTATAAAGACTTTAGTGCATTATCTCTGTTCGGTTTTAATACAGATCTGCAGCTTGTTTATTTCGGACCTAGCCACAATCAATAGTTGACGATATTTCCAGATTAGCTTGGCTTATACATATAGTTTTACTGAACGGGTGTCAGCTTGCCTTATGAGGCCATAACAGTTGTAGTGACGCAAGAAGTGGTGATAGTGTACGAGATCGCTATGTATTACGACGTTAGGTTGATCATGACGATAAGCGGTGTGACATACAATAATGATAGGAAACTTTGGGCAGTGTATATGACCCCTGTGATCATTAGAACCATAAGTACCGAGTACCAAACTTTTCAACTCAATATTCATTCGGCCAATAACAATAGTAAAATAGCACTGTTTCGGAATACACCGAATACCAAATAAAACACTAAGACTGAAACAGTACGTGGATTATGAAAATTAACATCATGTTTTCTATAAATCTATCTTATGTACCCTTATTACCAGATATTACTGATAAAACGAGATTTCAGAACATACAAATTTAGGTAAGATACAAACAATGAATTAACTGTATCAAACCGCTGTTTCGTCTTTCTAGGATTCGTCAGTGACGCTACATTATATAGCTGTTTCGTCATTCTAGGACTCCTCATGGAAGCTGAGGAACTAAATTTTAACCACAGGAGGCGACGGAGAAAAATCCAAAATGATCGGAAATAAACGTCAAATTCTAAATCGGCAAGTTTCCATAACTCAGTAATTTAAGTAAAATTTTAAACTGATAATTTTAGGAGAAAGTCAAGTATTTGTGTATATTCTGAACCGTGCCACTATTCATATGGATTGCAGATTACACTAAACCTCGGAGACTCCCAGCTGTGTACACTGTTTGTTTTCTCTTCATTGACAAGCGTATATCGAAATTAGATATTTTGACAATTTGAAGACCATCTATTGTATAGTCCACCAGCAGTGTCTACCACCTATCTCAGATTGCACAAAAGATATGTCCGCTTCTTTGTGCATTATTAAGTGCAGTCGTACTGTATTTGTTGTCTCGTTTCGTGCTCCGTGCTTCGGTGTGCATCAAAGCCGTAATTGACAATAACAAGTCTTCCCTTCTCACAGATAGTAAATTTAAATGACATTCATAGTGTTTTCGGACAAAGGTTAGAGAAAGAAAATAATAATATATAAAAGGATTTCTACTGCTGATTGCGTTAGTATGTTAGTTTAATTTACATTCGATGCTCTACTTTCAGCTTTCAAAAGAATTGGTTCGTTTGACGACTTTGGCAATGCTGATTTCAAACATTCACATGGAGATGTGAGTGCTGAAACATTCTCTCACACCTCTTCATTGTTCTGCCTGACCTTCAGTTAATCATTTGTATATCGAAATTAGATATTTTGACAATTTGAAGACCATCATCCTTAATTTCAACATTGATCTTCAATAAGTTTGATACTGACCAGTTGATCATTACAGCTATAGACAACAGCCGATTGTAAAGCCGAGTTCCTTAAACGTTTCAGGAAGGAAAGCATGATGGTAGAATCTTCATGTTTAATGCTACGTTTATATGTATCAGGAAACTTAGTCCACATTCTTTTTTATTAGAATACGTGACATGTTTCATTGTTTTGTTCTATGGATACAGATAAGTGAATTTCCGATAGTACCTAACCACTTCTGATGACCTCACCCCTATCACTATCTAACATGATGTAACCCTCACACTGGATTTCTATGGCCTTTCCTTAGATGTACTAATTCCTCTGTAGCTGTGTCGGGTATGTGACAGATCATTTTGTTTGTGTGTGATTTTAGAGACGCACGTCATAGAATGAATGTTTGTTTCTTACGTTTATTTAGTATTCTCCCTCCCAAAATGACATTGTTGGTATGTGTCTGTTTCAGACCAAAAGTGTATATTGTCCATTATGACCTGGTTCCACCTTCTGCCCTGGATAATCACATCAATACTGTCCTTGACCTTGTTTTACGGCAGTACACCACTGCAATTTTACAGTGATTTGATTGGCTGACGATGCATACTTGCATATGATACCCGCGTGGTGTTTTTCTCTTCATAATTCTAATAAAACACATCATAGAGCTCAAGGACATCTTGTCTACATATGGATGAAAGTTTTCTTCCCAAACGTTTTTCAATATTCCTCATGGGTATGAAGAGTCGTTTTCACAAATTAATAGGATGTTTTTGTAAATGAAGTCAACACATAATCATCTGTCAATAGATTAAATAATTTACGTTTGGAAAGACGATATAGAGTCGGACATATTGTTTTCATGTAAAACATGCAAGTGAGATATTTAACATAATACATGCTATATAATAATATAAAAAATTAGATAGTAAATACTTTATACCAATTGAAATACATCATACCCGTTCCCATTACGTATTTTCTCAATTTCCGTATATACTTGTCCATGAAACCTTTTTCAAATGAATTATTGTCGTTGTCTATGTACGGTAAGGTCGCATTTCGAAACGACAAGAATAAAAACAAGTCTAGCCCACTAACCTCACAATCTTACAACAACGAGTTTGATATTACAAAATTCATTAGGAAGACAATTATTGATTTGATCGTGGAGAAGACTGTTATAGAAGTGGTATCTATTTAAGCACGAGAACTTGGTCCTGTATTTTTCATGAGTAAGATTTGTTTGCCCTGCGATCGATTATTTCTATGTGGAGGTATAGTTATAGGTCGGTGTCTGGCACCCCTGGGTAAAATCAATGTCCACTTCCTAGACAGGTGCACGATCAAGTCGTGCAATAGTTTGTGTAAATAGTTTACCAACTGAAAATACCGTAATTCATTCTTTAGGTAATCTTTCAGTCAGCCAGCATATATATTCTGTAAAGTCAATAATTTTCGAGGGCTTATTTTCGTTGGGTTTTGTCAAGTCAAAAAAGGATAAGCATAAAAACGGATTTTAGTACCCGTGGACTTCGTAAGATTTATCAGCACAAACAAAGTGCATCCTACATTGCATTTTCTTCTCATTTTTTTAACCACGAAAACTTAGCCACACGAAAAGAAATTATTTTACAGTATTGAAGTTTGTGCTATCCTTACTCGAACATCAGCAAAGACAAGTTAACGATTACATTAATTTCCACCTAAACACAGTTTTACTTACATTGTGTACTTACTCCTCGTACATAATCTAAGTATGAGAACTTCCCTCCGGAATGTATCCTGTTTGAGAAACTCTGTAGCTATACAGTCTAAAGGAGATTATTGTATAGCTTTCAGTATGTATAAAAGACCCCTACGGTACCCTATTAACATATTCTGTCAGACCTTTGTAGTATATCAGAAACACCTATTGTTGACCTTGTAACTTGTTTATTGTGTAAAAACGCCGTATATGGCGTAACAACAGCCGACGTTATGAAGCCTCTTTTCAAAACTAACATTGCCATCGTCTGAAATAGTTTCTGTTGTAAACAAGCCTGTATGATGGGGAGAGCCCCCAGATAAGTACTTAAGCTACCTATCTCAGCCAACCAGTAGATGACATAACACAAAATAAAGCATTCTGAGTGATTTAACAAGCCAGTGATATTAAGAAATAACGTCTCCATGTTATCATTTCGTAACAATGAATTACACCAACATTTCGGAATGCAGACTGGATGCAAGCATGTTTAGTAGCAATTCAGAACGTCTCCTGATTCACAGAACATCAATGTTCGGGATGTATCTTGGTTTTAGATTTAGCTTGTGTATTGTAGTACAACTGGAACATTACTTCGGAAGGTATCGGCTTAGATGCGTAAGTTTGATTCCCGAGTAGCTCAAATATCATGTTCGCGTTGGTATATCGTTATATCTATTCACGATGGCCTTCACTACTCCTGTAAAGTATTTGGTATTGTGTGAAACCGATGGATCGTTTTAGTGTACCATGACAAACATTTTACCATATATCATGCCCAACCAAGGTCTTACATAGGTTAAAGCGATACAGTGTCAATACTCAGTACCAAGCCCCACCATATCTTTCGTTTAATAGTCTCATATTGCGATTGGCGATGTTTTTGTGCGACGATGAAAACCAATATGTCTAATCACAAAAGGTATTTAATTGAGCTTCTATAAGAAAAGCGATGATAGTTAATTTGAAAAAGACTACACTTCATTTAATATCGATTTGCAGTTAAACGTTAGATGCAAATTAATTGGGAGGGTTATATCTTCCAAAATGTCATGTTTTAGTTAATATAGTTATTGTGTAAACTTTAACATTCTTAACATTACAGACTTGTTAAACTTATAAATGTTTCTTTACTGCAGTTAATTAAAAGCTTTGTAGTCACCTTAATCAAGTTAGATTAGGATTCGATTAATTTCGAACTATCTAAACAAATCCAGATTTAATTAACCTACAGATACATCATGAGTGAAGTTAGCTTAAACATGTGGTTTTATACAGGAAAAGGAAACAAAATAATTTAACAGCATGAACTCGTCATGGAGTACAAAGAATAATTATGTTGAACTCACCGGGACGGCAGTTGGGCAGAAGTGGTCCCTGTTAGCCACTGAATCAGGAGTGTAGGCAACATCACCAAGATCGCCATCACAGCGCGAAACACGGACACTATTACAACACCGAACCCATTTTTGGTCATTTTCCCCGCCATTATTCCAACGAGATAATGCTTTCAACATTTAGAAAGATCGATCAATGGTTCTAATCATTTGAGCTCAGTAGTTATGTCCTACTGATATGTCTCCAAACTCCCACAGTTTCCCTGCCAGGGCGGAGGGATAGGCTATTCACTACCACGGAATTAACCTGTCAGGGCGGAGGGATACTGGTCCAGCACGTGTAGGAATAAATGTAGTAGCCGATGTTCCAAATATTTACATTACTTCTGTAAACCAATTCGCATGGTGAAGTGACGCTGGGCGAGAAGGCATTATATCAACTCTGTATATAAAATTGATAAAACGGACAAAAAGATACGATTTCAATGCGCGCACACATCTGCATCCTTTGCATAGACAAACAAGCGTAGTAAGTGTAAACTGTGCGCCATCAGGTCGGGTCTGACGTAGGTAGGCCATGTGAAATGAAACATATTCTGGCGCGGAAGTTATCGACGTTTTCACGTCACGTTTATTGTTAGCATGTCCATCACAGGCGATGATAACCGACAATGTGGAGGGAAAGGTTATGCCGTGTCGAACGGCAGCTGATAAGACAGAACCCCCGTAAATCTGTCAACACGTGTAGACTTACGCACGGGCGTGCATTACTGCACTGGGGGGTTTCATTAACGTTCCAATTATTTGGAAAGGTCGGTCGTGTTAATGACAAACTATTTTTAGTTCTTATTCGTTTTATTTATGATGTTGAATTAAGATTATCACCAGTTTGATTTTTGTTCGGTTGCTAACGTTTCTTGCTAAAGTGTATTGACTTGACATCACTTCATCGATCATTAAGTAGATTAACGAGGTGGCTAGCAGCTGGACGGATGACATACACAGCCTGCACTGCCTCACTCCTTCAACATCGCGTTACAACGATCGACTGTTGACAGCTTTAAGGATAGGATTTGAACTTGCATAATTCATCGTATACTACATCATGTTATAGCGTAAAAGATAATATGTGGTGTACTATGTGACCCGTCGCACATACGAACGCGCATATACAAAGACCGCACCTGTCGCGTCGGAAAGGTATAACTACACGTGCGAGCTCACATATGACACAATGAATATATATGGAGAGCTGATTATTCAGTGCGGACACCATCGCGTGTGTCGCGTAGTGTAGAAATTAAATATGTAGTCAAATTAACGCACCTTTCGCGTCGGAGAAATTCTTTATTTAGCAGTAAGGGACGGTACTCCGACACTTATGAGCAACCTTATCGACGAATGTTAGTGTGTATAGAATGAGGATGAAACACTTCAAGCTCGAACACCTTTGTCGCGTAGGAGGATTATTAAAGTTAGCGAGTGATGATGAGAAACCTATATAAAACATGTTTCATATGTAAATCACATTAGACTGTCGACAGTTTCTGGATTATTTATTGCATTTAAGTGTAAACTGCGGTATACTACAAAATGAAAACAAACTTCAAAGTAAACATGGAATTATATGGTAATCGAACTTCACAGTAAGATCTCGTGCGATTTCCATCAAGTTTACCGTCATTTTATTTACTAATTCTAGTAACAATATTAATTTCATACGCAAACGTACAGATATAGCTTTCCAGACAAACATAACATATTGAACCATATGTTGTTGGATCCAGTTTGAATTCTGTGTCCAGATAATTGTATTGTTGACGATATAGATGGTAGGTAAACCAGTCGACAATATTAACATCAGTATCTTTTTCATGCCTGCAGCGACTTCAAGATATACCAGAAATACACACTGCTGATATAGACAATCGATTTAACATGTTTATCTCGATATCAACGTTTGTCAATGACAAACGGGCTTCACTCGTGTAGTAACAAAACCAAGCAAAACACCAATATGTAAACATAATCATAATCCAAACTCAAAATTTAATCAAACAAGAGCAAAATATGAACAAAAGAAAGATTTACATTAAGACTCATTAACAAGTACAAGGAGGATGTGACCGCAAGATTAAGCGTCTTCTGCTTCATCAACAACACCCGCCATATCAATCTTGGTCAGTCCAAGTAAGTAATGTCAGATTCCCAAAATGAGAACAATGTATACAACAACGGAACCAACAGGTAAACTAAAGAACATCAAACACGTCAAACTTCAAATCGTATAAGGAAATAGGATACTTGTACCCACATTTACCAAAGATAGAATATTTCTATTATAATTTCATTAGCTTTATACATGTCTGAATATAAAGATAACTATCTAACAACACTTAATTGATTGATTCCGAACCAACATTACTTGATGATATTTCCTAAATAAGCGACATAACCCATTCTCATCACTTGCCTGTACAGTTCTATGAAAGAAGATTCAATTTCCTACCGAGAACATGTAATAATGAAATTGAAATAGTTATCTATGTCAACCACCCTAGCAGCCTCTGTAGAGTGTCTTTCCGCAAGACTGACTTCTTTCTTCTCAGCTGGTTAGTATTCTAGTAAAAAGGGTGGATGTACTTCACACGGCGTTTGATCTCTATATAAAACGACATCAGTAATGCTGTATATGGCACCAGACCTAAACCGAACCTGGTGGACGTCACAGTAAGGGTGCTTTTGACCGCAGAGATAACCCTTCCCTTAATACATTATCATGTTCGCGAATGTTTACACTTCAACACCACATGTGTTTCACGGCGGAATCCGTGGAATGCGTGCTGGATAGACTTTCCATTGATATAAAGCTACACATGTATTAGAGCAGGAAATGTATTTTGGAGCAGCCTTGAATAAGAAAGCTGATAACACATGCTTCAACTGGAACTGATATTTCATTTAAAGTGTAACAGCGTCGAGATTATACAGAATATAAAGATGTCTATTCATTCAACTCTCAAAATTCGTTTTCGCATTAACCGATAATACCAGCCTACCACAGAGTCTAAAATCGATCTGGTAAACAAAGGTCAAAAGGTCGAAAATAAAGTTATCAGACAGGCTTAATATCTTGCGATTTTGATTTGAATGTCTACGACGAGAAATTTAACGTTGTATTATAAAAAAAACTGCATGATTGAAATATTACGATATTGCGTTGTTTCCAGTATAATGGAATTCAATTAAAAGAATGATAATGCACTGAAGAAAGAGAAAACAGAATTTTGTTAAAATATATATATATATAAACTTATATTTTATAATACTTGTTAATATCCTCAATAGAAACATTAACGTCAGACGTTGAATGTCGAAGGTTAAAAAGCTATGATCAGACTAATTCCGTCAGCAAAGTTACACATTCTTGTTATAGTTCTTGAGCGAGGTAAAACAGAGAGTAAGTTTATGGTGGTTTCTCTGAGCTATTGGGGAAACATCTTGTCCCAACACACATTGACTCCGTGGAGGTATTTTAGGTCCCGATAGAGATTAAAGTTATCGACCATTGATTGAATTACCAAAAGGGTCAGTAGCGCGTAATCAACTAAGCCCGTCAGATGAAAGGAAAATTGATTTACTTTCATGTCATTGTCTATAAGGAAACTAAAGGAAATTAAACTACGTTCAAGTCTAGATCCTAATGGTAGAAAGTCCTCAACTTACAACAACATGACATTATTTATTACAGTGTAGATAACAATGTATGTAATGGGGTACGATTAAACCTTAGAGACTGTCGTCGTGAAACTAGACACTATTTGTTATCGAGGGTGGCCTCTTCTAGCAGAACCTTCATCGTAATCAGCTCATTTGGTTTCGTTATTTCCAATTACCGTCTGTAAGGAATCTCAAAAATTCGTAAACAGTCTATCCGTGATTTTCTTATCAAAAATTGAAATGGGAATAAACATCGCGTAGCTGGATCGACTTTTATTGCATAGAACATTATAGCTATCTGATGTACGTATGGAAGATCACCAATTCGACCTGTTTCACTAAAATCTTATCACCATCTCGTCACACTACTCTCCACCTCAGTGTATACGAGTTTATACTTCATCTTAAAAGTCATGTTATTTTATAATCATATAAATTTCATATTTTTCTGATGATAATCGACGCACGTTTAGAAATTCTATACATTGCAATATAATGTGTATACTGTAGTTACTAATGGTTCAACATTTCGCTAATTTTCTAAAAGCTTGGAGCAAAAAACCTGGTGTTTCTCAGGAAATAAATGACACCAATTATCTTCTCTTTTCAGGTTATTTCATGGTATTTAGCTATTTTATGCCATCCTCGAAAATTGAAATTCTCGATATGATATACTTTAAAGTAGCGATATACTATTACAAAACCTGATAAGGAGTTGACAAAACACTGATTTACAAAGGAAATTGACCTAGATCTAGGACGCATAGTCGGCTGAGCGTTTGCCACGGATACGTATATTACTGGGTACTGGTCTCCAGTCATCCGGTCGACTGACAACACAATAACGAATTAAGCATGACAGTACAACTTAGATAAAAGTGTTTCTTACGTGCTCATATCATTGATGCATTCAACAACATAATCAAGCTATTATTTTTACGTATGTGTTTAGAGATTCCATTTATCGATAAGAGAAGAACGCATGATATACCTGGATGCTAAACAATGTCTGGACCAATGTCCAGAGGGACAATCCGGACAATTGTGGGTAGTTAAGCACCTGTTCACTGCCCATTAGAGGTGATACTCCTTCGGTCAGCTATTAGCACTAAACATAAAGGGCTTTTCATCCACGATTGTCATCTGGGCTCCAAACTGTTATGATAGAACTGTTTATAACAAAATGGAATCACGGTTTGCTACTTGGTTATTTCATTCACAACTCCAATGTCTAAATGTTAAAAAGGATCAGAGGATTTAGGAATATCGCTTTGTCGCCATCCAATCGATGAATCATTACTGAAAGAAATCTTGATATGGCAGCTACGTTACTTTAGTCAATTCTAATCTGAAGTCTAGTTATGTAATAGTGCTGGCCATCAGATCACGCTTTCAAGGACAGCACACAACTGTACATGAACGTAGCATTCTAAATTCTTCTTCTTAGATTCCTAGAAGAACAGCATTGTTCGTAGGAATTGTTTAAATACCCTGACGATAATTTAAGACCGTATCACAGTTAGATATACCCGCCGAACGACCTGGGAGCTATGCGAGTAATTAGCGGTTGATAGTGATTTCAGATTCTCTGTCATCATGAATATTAAGTATAGTATATACCAGAAATTATCTGGAGAATCAATGGCATTCATTTCCAACTTAACATGTTAGGAACTTGACCTAATTTCATGGGCATTGTTGTTACACG